GTTATATTTGGAATTTGAGACCATGAATTCCAAATATAAGAATTTAATTTCAAAACTTAAAGTTGAAAATGATTTGGTTTTAAAAGAAAAAGTTTATTTTGAAAAACAAAATAAAATTTTGAAAAACAAAATAAAATTTTGAAAAATGATTTAGAGCTTTCAAAAGTCAAAATCAATGATTTAGAAAAAGATAATTTTGATTTGAAAGTTAAGCTTGAGAGCTTAACAAAAGAAAAAGAATTAATTTCTAAAAACAACTCATTATGTTTAAAATGGCAAAATGCTCACATTGCCATTTTTATGGTCATTTGGAACATACTTGTCCTTTGAAGAAAGGAAAACGTTTTAAAATTAGACAAGTATGGATTCCTAAGGGAACAAGGGGCATTGAAACTAATGTTCAAGGATCTAAAGCAATTTGGATACCAAAATCTACTTAAATGTATTTTGTAGGTGTGTGTGAGCAATGGTTATGAAAATGAAGATGTTCAAATTCTCTAACCACACTTGAAAAGGAATGGGTAACCTTTAAAATTAAAAGCTTTTTGATTTTGCATAATTAGTTGCTCATTTAGGTTTATGCATGCATGAGTTTTGATTTTAAATGATTTCATGTTTCCTATCTCATGTATGTTAAAAAGGTGTTATGATGAACATTTTAAAGTTTTAATACTTTATCATAATTTTTAGTTAATCATAATGATTTTTGATCAAAATTGTTTTTAAATGTAAATGATATATCTCTAACAATTTATCAAATGCTTTGATTTTTCAAATTTTAATTTTTTACCTAAATTTAAATGTTTATGCATATGATTTATTGCAAATGATATCTCTCTAACAATAGATATCTATTTTTCAAATGCATAACATTTTTGAATAACTTTATGCACATGTAATTTCAATAATTGGTATTGCGCAAAGTATTTTAGACTTAGATATATTGAATTTCATGTGCTACTAACATATTTGTTATTCTTTGTTAAAATTCAATTTTGTTTAAGCGTCAAGCTCTTAAAGTCAAATTTTTGTTTGGAATGCACCTTTTGTGGGGGAGCTTGGATTTTTCAAATGTTTTTTAATGTCAAAATTACCACTTACTCTCCAATGTTATTTTTGAACTTGAAAGTTGAATTATTTTTTATATAACAAAAAGGGGGAGAAGTATGGTTTGAAATTTTCAATTTCTCAATAAAAAAGGGGGAGCTGAACATTTTCCAACAATTAGCATATTTTTCATTAAATATTTTATTAAGGAGGAGTTTTGTCAAAAACAAATTTTCAAATGTTTTGTTATATAAAAAAGGGGAGATTGTTGAACTATATTTTGATATAAAAAATTAAGGCAAAATGTTTTTGGACTTGAATTGAATTTATTCAAAGTTTTCAAAAATAATTCAAAGTCCATTAAAAGTGATTTTGAGGACAAAACTGATTTTCAACATACGTAGTACCTATAATGTTCTTACAGTATCGATATTATATGAACAATACCGATATTGTTCATGTGGTACCGATACCCTAGGTAAGAGAAGTATCGATACTCTCTTGGTAGTATCGATACTACCAGCATTGCTCAAATTCCAGAATGCAAAAATGGTACTGATACCCAAAGGGGTACCGATACTACTCAACATAGTAGTATCGATACCATCAAGCCCAACGGCTAGTAACGTCTAGTTTTATTTAAAAATAAAAAAGGTAGTACCAATAGTCCTTATAGGAGTACTGATACCCTTTGTACTGACAATTTTATTTTGCAGAGAAAATATCCCCAAACGGCTAGAAATCATCCCAAACGGCTAGAAACAGCCACAAACTCATTCCAACATATAAATACAAGTCCAATACACTTGAAGAAGGGTTAGAACACCTATCCAAGCAATCAAACACAAGAGAAGAGTTTTTTATTCCTATTTTACTGTCTCTTGTAAATATTTTGTTTTTGTGAGCTTTAATTTGTAAACACCTTACCTTTAAGAGGTTTTATTTGTTTACTTCTTTTTACTTTTTGTAAAGGGGATTGGTTCTAGTTTAGCCAAGTGAAAAACTATGGAGTTTGTAAAGGTTACTCTTGATCCTTGAAAAAGAAAGAACAAATTAGTGGATTTGTTGGAAAATCCTTAGTGAGAAGCTAAGGTAGTGGAGGTAGACTTAGTTGATAAGTCGAACCACTATAAATCGCTGTGCAAAACTTTCTATATTTTAGTTCTCCTTACTCCCTAAACAATTTTTGCCAATTCACCCCTCTTGTTAATTTTTCAGTTGTTCAAATTGAGCATCTTCGATCCTAACATCCTCATATCATTTGCATAAAATGTTATCCTCTACGAAGAGAAGCTATCCTCTACGTAAGATGTTACTATGTGAGAAACATCACCCTTTGCAAGAGTCTCTATCCTCCAAGTGAGTTGATGCCTCTGGAAATGTCTTTCGGAAATATTGGACAAAATCGAGAGATAATCGTCATATTTTTCACCATAACTCTTGGATCAAGACACTTTATGGCATTCTTTCAACTAAGGGGGACAATTATTATACCTCCATAGATACAATCTAGATATAGTATTTCCACCAATGAATTTAACTAGAGTCTTATACTCCCCATATGGCTACAATCCCATAATTAGACCTATAATAGTCTCACATGATCTACTAGAGCAAAATTTAAGATTTGACAACCAAATTTATTTAACCTGTTGACCTACAAGTAGTCTTCATGACCATATATTTGACACTGCCAATTAAGATCACTATAAATACCCCTAAGCCATACCCGGGAAAAGGACAGACTCTCTCTCACGGTTCCAACTCTCGCACTCGTATCTCCCTCCCCTTTCGATCCTCTCCTCACATAGATTAACCACTAATCAATTTGTTCCCGTTAAGAAAGAGCAATTTATGATAAAAGTGATTACGTCAGAGAGAAAATAAAATAATTTAATTTTTTTTAAAAATGTTTAATGAAGAGGAATGATTATTTCACTTTGTTTTTTTTAAAAGGAAAACTATTACACAGGGATGATAAAAAAATCCGAATCCGACGGGAACAACTGAAAATCGAATTAAACGGGGACGAGAAAAAACCGTTTAAGCTAAACGGGGATGGGGATTAGGAAAAATTGTTTATGTTAAACGGGGACGGGGACGGGTTTAGTAATCCCCGCCCCGATTACCCGGCCCGATACCCGACCATATAAATATTAAAAATAATTATTATATATACATACATATATATATATATATATATATATATAATATTAATAAATTTAATTTAAATTAAAAATATATATATAATATTTATATATTTAATTTAAATATATATACCAGGCCCGATACTCGTTTAAATAACCGTATGCTAAACGGAGATACCCGTTTCCCCGCGGTTTTCCCCGATTACCTGATGGGGATCCCCATTTAAATTCCCGCGATTTTTTAAACGGAGACCAGTACGAGTTTTTTAAACAGAAACGGAGACAGTAGACCAATACCCGGCCCGTTGCCATCTCTACTATTACACACAGAAACAAAGTGAAACAAAGAGAGTTTCAATCTTATTTTATTTTCTCCTCAACATCGTTAGAAATAAAAGAGAGAAGCACGAACGCAATTTGTTGGCCCGGTCAATCGGTAATATTTATTCATAAAAAAAATTAGAGAAACACGCGTCCGAAAACAACGGAGGTGGGGCCCACCACTACCGTTATTCGTTTTTTCCTTTGAATATGTTTTGTGGGGGCCACGGTTGACAGTTGTCTTCTCCGTGATCCTTCCCGCCAACACTAATTATGAACAAATTAATTAATTATACACCTAAAAAATAGCAAATTTTAATTATAATCCTAAAAAAAGAAGTGGAAAAAATAGGGGGAAAAAAGTAAAACAGAACGCAGCTTGTAGGGTAGCTGGTGGGCCCCTCAAGCTCCAGCTAATGATAAAAAAAATTAAAAATTAAAAAGAACTGGAAAATTTCTCAAGAAAAATAAAAAATAAAAAATACAAACCTCTATCGATGAGAAACAGAGCAATGATGGTCGAAGAGAAGGAATTGCTGCTCTGAGCTCATCGTGTAAAAAAGGGCAGTAATAGAAAAAAAAAATCTGGGAATTGTTTATTTTATTTTATTTTAGTTTCTGTTGTTTAAATTCCAAAATTTTTCCATATTTTTTTTCTTTGCTGCCTTTTTTTTCAAGTTCATCTTCTATCAGAAACCTCTTTCTTCACCATTACCGTCCATTACCGCATCTATCAACGCCGTACTTTCATTGTTCTTTTCATTTTTCTGACGGAATCTTAACAATTGCAACAATAGCTTCAAACCAGGTACGAATTTTGATCTTTCTGCACCTTTTATGGTAAGTCCATCTCCTCCTTCATTGTTTTGTGTTGTTTTCGAATGGGAAATTATAGATTTTTGTTTTGGGTGTTCTAAGAGTTCGTATTCAATCGTATATCTACTTCGCATTTCTGCTTTACCATCGGTATATTGCAGTGTTTTTTCTGATTAGATTAAGCTAATGTGTATTATGTGCATCGTGGATGGATATTATACTACATTGCAATTCTAGAAGGTGACATCAACATTGTAATATTTATTTCAATTTTATTAAGCTACTGCAGAACCAATGAATTATGAGAATGGTCAGGGATGAACAGACAGCGAGCGGGCAGTCGCTCTTAAAATTTTTAAATTATCATCTATTTTAGATATTTTCTTTATATTTTTTATTGATAATCTATTTTCGACTCCCCTATAAAATTAAGTTCGTCATTCTTGAGAATGGTGGATTATTATGATACTAATTTCAATTCTTCATGCATGTGGAGGGAAAGGTCCTTCACCTGTAAAAGCTAGCGTTAGAGTGTGTGTTCCATAAGTCATTTTGTAGACCTTTATTCCTTTTATTGGATTGCTTGCTATCAAAGTCATTCTCATGTTCTTTGATTTTTCTTTTTCTTTTTTTGGTTTTTCAGCTTCTCTGGAGATTGTAAGAAGAGAAGTTGAGCTTTCCAAACGTTGATAAATTAACATGAATATGTTAAGAGTGTTGTAAGATCAAATTAAAAACTGAAAAAATGAGGGATCCGGATGCGATGATCGTCATCGAAGGCGGTGAATTTACATTTGTTTGTAATATAAAATTGTAATAGCATAAAAAAACAAAGATAAAAAGATTGCTTTTGTGTCAAGTTTTCTAGTCAACCAAAAGGAACGTAGAGATTCTTTTTGTTTCCTCTTTTGGTGTTTGTGTTAGTGTGGGGTGTCATTTTTGTTTCTTTTTGTGGAGTGAGTTTTTAGAAGAGTTTGGTGTTTTGTATTAAGGGGAAAAAAACCTGGCGATTTTGTATATCGTTGTGGCTGTTGGCAGATGTCTTTGCAACCTCGGCCATTGCAGCGTTTGGCTTATAAAGAAATGATGAATAGATGGAAACGAATTGGATTCATTGTGATAACCTTTTTGTTCTTGATTCAATGCTTCATGACTGAAGGGTCTTTGGCCGTTGATTCTGATGGTAATTCCTTCGGGTATTTCTGTTTGATTATTTTTCCTTTTGGTTTGTTTACCTTTTCTGTTCCATTAAATTTCTTGTCTTCCTCTTTTTCTCTCTTGTTTTACATTGATTTTAATTGGATTTGGAGATGAAGGTTTGGCTTTGTTGGAATTTCGAGCCAGAATCGATTCTGATCCTTATGGTGCGTTTGCAAACTGGAATTCCAATGACAGCACCCCATGCTTCTGGTGGGGGATTCATTGTGTCGATGGTAAAGTACAAATGCTGTAAGTCCCTCTTAAATATATAAGAAATATGCATAATCTCTTAAAGAAGAATCGTCGATATGTTCCTCGTTGGATAGCTAATTCGAGTTTAGCATGTGAATGGCCTAACAGAGAGTATGGTGCATAATTAAAGAGTTTTTAGTTTAGAAGCTGTGTATGGTGTAAACTTTGAATGCATGAATCTTCTAAGGTCATTTTTTGTTGTTCTAGGGATCTGGCTGCTCTTTCTTTGGAAGGAACATTGGCACCTGAGCTGGGGAAATTAAGCCACTTAAGATCACTGTAATGCTTCACAATCTTTGCTGTGGATTTTTCGTGTTTTATCTCAAGTTGTCTATCTACTTCAACTTCGGGTCTCTTGTAATCTTGTACCCTCTTATCCAACACATATTCCAGTGTTCTCTACAAAAACCGTTTCTCCGGTGCCATTCCAAAGGAGTTCGGAGAGCTTACGAAGCTGGAGCTATTAGATTTGAGGGAAAATGATTTGGGTGGAACAATTCCAGCTGAAATAGGAAAAATGTTATCTCTTAAACGCTTGTAAGTGTCGTGTTTAGTATATTTTATGCAATGAATTATGCTTTTTGCTCGTTGTTAGCTTTAACTAAAACACCTTACACCTTAGGTTACTTTGTGACAACAAGTTGGAGGGTAGCATCCCTTCAGGTCTTGAGAGGCTTAACTTGCTCTCTGAACTGCAGTTTGATGAAAACCTTACATCGATGTCAGCTACCGGAATTGGTTGTGTAAATAGGAAGTTTGGACTATGGTAAGAACCATATTCATTGCTGTAGAATTCGATATTTGAACTTTGTTGTTAAGAGAAGATTATATGTTTCTCAAAGCAGATTCATTTTTTAGGTTCATCATCCTAAAATTTCATTTATATGCCTATATCTTTGGTTTGTATTGGGAACTAATCTGTTAGTTCTAGTGCTCATGTCGATTCCAGGCTTTGTGGAATCACACATTCTAGACCTCATTCTACAGTTGGAGTTGATATTTCTATGAAGCAATTTGAATTAGTACATTTTGTTAGGATATTGAACTCAATTCTGCAAAACTTCTCCATATTTTGCACTGATATGTAGCATGTTGGAGATTAAGAGCTTCAGTTTATGGAGTGGTTTTAAATAATTAATTAAACCTATTAATAAGTCCAAGCCTTCTTCTATCTTCCTGATTACTTGATTGCCTAAGTTGACAGCCTATGGCAAAGCAGTTTGAAACAACTGAGCAGAGTGGGTTCGTTGCTCATGCCGATCAGAGGAGCTCTCATACATTACCTCAATGCTTCTCCATTAGCACAGTATGAACTTGTATATCTTTTTAATTTCTTCTCCATGTTGTTGTTTACGTTATTTGTGTTCTCAAGTTCTCTTTGTTCACATGAATTACCTTCTTACAAGGCAAAAGGACTCGCTGGCCGAACATCAAGACGATTGCTGCCAGAATGTGCCTGGTGAGTATAACAATTACCAAATTGAAAAATCGAGTATGGCTTCAGGAAAAGAATGACGGTTTTTCTCTTAAGTAGGTTTGTCTGATCAACAAATGGGTCATAACATACAAGATGTCCCTTCTGCACGTCGTAGGCTGCTTGAGCAGTCAAAGAACCTCCCAGCTCTACCTTCTGCTAGCATGTCGTCCAACAATCAGATCATTTCTCTGCCAACTAACCGAAGTAGTGGGAGTTTCCCCGCGGTGCCAAAGGAAAAAAATAAACATCGACCTTCACCAGTTGAACTGCTTCCTCCTGAGACTGATACAACGGGTGTAGAAGCAGATGCTGAACAACCTTCAGGGTCTGGTTCCAGTAGTTCATGGAAATTTCTCATTATCATTCCCTGTGTGGTCATCTTTCTTGTGTTTCTGGTGTTTCTGTTCATGTATCATAAACGAGCTGCAAAAACGATCGGTCCCTGGAAAACCGGATTAAGTGGACAGCTTCAGAAAGCTTTTGTTACAGGTAATTTCAAATATATATTGTTCATGTTGCACATTTTAATTTACTTAGCATGAGATGTTTCGATCTTAGATAATGTCTAGACCGATTAAAATATATTGGACACGCAGGAGTGCCTAAGCTAAACCGAGCGGAACTCGAAACAGCTTGCGAGGATTTTAGCAATATAATTGACACAATTGGAGGTTGCAGAGTTTACAAAGGGACACTTTCCAGTGGGGTTGAGATCGCTGTTGCAGCTACTAGCACTTCTTCTTTAAAAGATTGGTCCAAAAACTCAGAGAAAGCCTATAGGAGAAAGGTTTGTTGTTTCTAAATTCACAAAACCTAAACATTACTACTTTTTAGCCATAAATGAAACCAATTTTTATACTTTAGAATCTCCTGGTTGTTAACTTTTTCATATTGGAACTTACCGTAGATCGATAAATTGTCGAGAATTAACCATAAGAACTACGTCAACCTCATTGGCTACTGTGAGGAGGATGAACCTTTCAACAGGATGATGGTGTTTGAATATGCTCCAAATGGAACCCTTTTCGAGCATCTGCATGGTAATATTGCCAATTACATATATTTTGTAACAAATATTTTACTTGATATTGATTCTTCAAGAGCTTAAAATATTTATTCATTGTTTACAGTTAAAGAAATGGAACATCTTGATTGGAATGCAAGGATGAGGATCATCATGGGGGTGGCTTATTGTCTTCAATATATGCACCATGATTTAAATCCACCCTTAGCGCATCCAAACTTAAGTTCATCTTCTATCTATCTAGCGGACGATTATGCTGCAAAGGTACACCGATTTTGGTTTAAATCCTGTTTCCATTTTGTTCTTGTCGATAACTCATATACAAGACTCATTATCATTCCTCTTTTAACTTCCGCAGCTAGGGGAAATTGGTTGTTTGTCGCCTGCACTGAAGTCTGAGACCTTAGGTGGTGCTGAATCACAACATTCATCTGAATTGCCACCTTTTGTTGATTTAGAAGCGAATGTCTATAGCTTCGGAGTATTGTTACTCGAAACCATTTCCGGGAAGCTTCCGTACTCCGAAGGACAAGGACCGATCGAGAAATGGGTATGTTTTGGTATGATCTGATAACTTCATATACTGTAATCTCATCCCTAATATCAAAATCAATGAAACTCCGCAGGCAGATGAATACCTGATGGATAAATCAAAGATGAGCTCGATGATTGATCCAACGCTTGAATCGTTCAAAACTGAAGAACTTGAGAAAATCTGTGAGGTTATCAAAGAATGCATCATAGCAGATCCAAGGCAAAGACCAACCATGAAAGAAATAATTTCAAAATTGGGAGAAGTGATTCATATTGGCCGAGAACAAGCTACGCCTAGACTCTCGCCATTGTGGTGGGCTGAACTTGAGATTTTATCAATGGAAGCTACCTGATTTTCTCTAAGATATCTTTGCAAGTCAAATTCACATATTACTTTGTATCAAAAATGGAAGAATATAGCTTTTGGTCACATTGTCTTCGTACGTATAAATATATATGTAAATCATATTCCTATCATCTCTCTGTAGACCCCATTCATTCTTAGCACTTTATTGTAATAAAAAGTGTGTTACTTGCTAATGGGGAGTGTGTAACAAATTGTAATAGATGTATGTATTTTGTGATTATTTAAGTTTTTTTAAAAGAAAATAAACAAAATACTTGCTATTCTTCTTCTTAAATGCAATACAATCAGGGGTTGAGATTTTTGTAGAAATATTATCGGAATAAATATTAATTGCAAATAGTCATCCAGTTCCTTGTATAGTACCAGATTAAATGAGAGGATTAATTCTTTAAAAAGAGTTATTTTATTCAAAAAATTAAAATCACAACCTCTTGGGATTACAGTGAAGACCATTAAAATTAAGATATCTGATACTCCATTTAACGTTTTCATTACGAAATTTCTCAACAGGTCGTGTTATTTTGTAGGCCTTTCATTCGTACGGGAATTCAAGTTGGAAACTGATTGCGTGTTATTTTAATTCACGATCAATCTTCAAGTAAAAATTTGCTACTGTTCTCTAACAAAATTGAGCCATTCGATCCTTGAGATTATAAGATAAGCCATCATTTTCTTTTCTGTTATCCTACTATCGCGGCCATCTTTCAGTTGGGTCCCGACATTGGGCTTCGACTTGAAAAAATAGATTAAAGTCGCCACCGACCATTTTAAAAACATTTAGGTAGGTCGGACATCATCTTATCTGATCTATATTTTACCAGAAATATGTCGGGTTCGGGAGTCGGTTACAGTCAATGAAGAATTAACACCCTTGTACTGCTCTTTCGGTACTAATTAATTTATCGGTTGTCTTAATCGCGAAAATTAAATTTAAAAATTCAACTCGAATTACTTACATTTGATTGGTTGTATTCCCTTAAAAAATCAAGATAAATATTAAATGATGAAATATATAAATATAAAAAAGAATAAAATCAAATAAAAATAAATAAATAAATAAATAAAGATAAATAAAATTATAAACATTTAAAAAAACCTAGGGTCCCTAGGCCCTCATGTCGCCGCCTCTCTCGCAACAAATTTGGTCTTCCACTTGGCTCCACTGGAATCCATGTTGCAAATGAAGGGTTTGTCTTCATCTTCTAATCCAACAATTACAGGTTGGCAGAAGTATGTACCAAATCTTTTCTAGAAAAGAATAGCAGAAACATGGTTAGCAAAAATCTCAGATTTCATGTCCCTCTCTTCTCTCTCTCGCTGCAATGCTTTGCACAGACACACACGTTTCATCACTTATCGTGTTACAGTTAAACTGATTCATGCTTCGCTGATCTTCAAGCACGGGAAATCGACTTAGAGCAACCCCATCGAAGACACCAGGCATCATATCCGAGCAGTATTGGTCCTTAATGAGTTTCTGACGTTTGGAGCAGGAATAGGAACTCAAATTTTCGTATGTGAATGAAATTAAAGGGTCATAAGGGACAATGTAAGAATCAAGAAGAGCATGATTAGAAAACTCAAATGCATCCAAGTTACATTTAATATCATCTTCTGTTTTAACAAGCTGAGAATCGGCCTCGGCTTATGCTGTTTTGCATGATAGATCGGCTCCGATGTAGCATTAGTTTGCCAGTTGAAACATGAACTCAAAACCATGACTTACGTACTACGCAGCTTCGGGAAGGAGGAGTCCATAAGTTGAAGGATTCCAAGTTGAGTTTGCAAATACTTGACATATTTGAAGGCAGACTGAAGCATTTCAGCAGTATTCATCTTACTCCCACCGGGCACAAGCTTCCCGAGCTCTTCCCTCTTCACTTTTTCGTTTGTGCCTATCATCCCATTTTCAGAATCGAAGGTCCCTATGCTCTTACCAACTTTGTAAAGTCGGATCCTTCACGACTATCGCATCTTCAAATGATTTCCGGGTATGATTCTGGCAAAGAATCTCACTCTCTCTGTTTACCAACTTCTGTTCTCGGATTTCAGCCCAACAAAGAAGCTCAACTTTGAACCGAGTCGAAAGATGGAGCTGGTTGGAGATAAGTTTATGATGAGTATTTGTTAACAGAACCAGGGGTTTTGTATGATTACTTCGATTATGACAGCCATGCACTAATACTTGTCGATGAAATAAGGTTACGAGAAGAGAGTAAATTGGAACAGGGTTATCCTTTTTCCCACCAGTGGCTCCAAGTTGATTTGATATTTAAGCCCCTGAGAGAGCGTGAGACCAACGCCAATAAAATGTGGGAATGAAATTGCCATTTGATGCTGGGAACTGGAAAGTGGAAACCATGGAAGGAAGAGAAAGAAGGCCAAGGGAAAGAACCCCACGCCTAGTGTCCCACCTTTCAATTTCTAGTGGCCCCCTTTAAAAAGCGAAAGAAAATGGAATTTGTTTTAGTTAGTGGCGGTAGTGGCACGATGGAAGGGGAAATCAATTGTTTGTTGGGTAGTGTTTGAGTGGGTTGAACATGGGGCCTACAAAAAATAAATAATAATAATAATAATAATAATAATAATAGTAATAAATAAATAAATAATATAATATAATATAATATTTTTGTAAACCCTGATAAAAACGGGTGTCTACAGCTACCCCTCTTTGCACATTTTTGTGTTAACAAGAATAGGGCAAAGATAAAAAAAAGACAACAAGTTTTTGTCCAGTTCTCTTTGGTTGGAGACTTGATAGTGTTTGTTGTGACACTAAGTCGATCCATTGGGCATGATATCCTTCTTCGTGAAGTTGAAATCGTGGACCTCCTGAGCATGATATCCCTAGTTATGAAGTTGAGTTGAGCTCAAAGTATTGGGAAGTAGCTCCTGGATTGTCTTCTAGCTCAAAATACTTCGTCGTGAAGCCTGGAACTTGACCTGAAGACTTCGGTGTTGTTGTGGTAGATGACCCTTCGTCGTGAAGTTGGGTCAATCTTTTGGGTATGATATCCTTCGTCGTGAAGTTAAAATCATAGATGGCTCATTCGTTGTGAAGTTGAGCCTTGAATTGGATATAATTCGTCATGAAGTTGAAATCCAATCTTGAGTAAGTTGCTTGTGGGCACGATATCCTTCGTCGTGAAGTTGAAATCGTGGATGGCTCATTCATTGTGAAGTTGAGCCTTGAATTGGATATCATTCGTTGTGAAGTTGAAATCCAATCTAGAGGTGGATGCAGCTTGTGGGCACGATATCATTCGTCGTGAAGTTGAAACCATGGATGGCCCATTCGTTGTGAAGTTGAGCCTTGACTTGAATATCCTTCGTCGTGAAGTTGAAATCCAAGCTTGTATTGTTTCGAGTCCAATATCCTTCGCCGTGAAGTTAAAATTGGCTCTGAATGAAACTGGGAAGCCCCTTTGCCATGAAGTTGAGCTTTGAATTGGATATCCTTCGTCGTGAAGTTGAAATCCAATCTAGAGTTGGCACGATATCCTTCATCGTGAAGTTGAAATTGTGGATGGCCCCTTCGTTGTGAAGTTGAGCCTTGACTAGAATATCCTTCGTCGTGAAGTTCAAATCCAAGCTTGTATTGTTTCGAGTCCAATATCTTTCGCCGTGAAGTTGAAATTGGCTCTGAATGAAACTGGGAAACCCCTTCACCGTGAAGTTGAGCTTTGAATTGGATATCCTTCATCGTGAAGTTGAAATCCAATCTAGAGTTAGCATGATATCCTTCGTCGTGAAGTTGAAATCCAAGTATTGTATGTTGCTTTGAGTTGGATATCCTTTGTTGTGAAGTTGAAATCCAATCTCGAATAAATTATGTCGGATCGAGTTCAATATCCTTCGCTGTTAAGTTGAAATTGACTCTGAACGAGACTCAGAAAGTTATTTTGTTGTCAGACAGTTTCCCCTTCGCTATGAGGTCAAGCAACCACCATCAACTTTTGAATGTGCTTTTGAATCGAGTATCTTTCATCTTGAAGTTGAAACTTGACTCAAAAAGCTGTAAAAAAATTATGTTTACTAAAAATGATAAATGTGATGCTCTTAAGTATGTCTAAGATGCATGCAACATGAATTAATTTTGTTTTATCCCTTAGATGGAGCCTCATTTTTGCCTGTTGGTCTTGTCCTTGGAATCGACCATGCCCCATTTTCTTCTCAGGTTATTTGTAATGTCACAAGTTCTATCTGATCTCTTGGACTGATTGTCTTGTGAAATGCTCGAAATTTGGCATTGTTCGTTCTTTCTTCAATAGAGGAAAAATGAGCCTTAGCACCTTTCAGGACCTTTCATATTTGAGATTGTCCTGTTTGAAAATGTTTTTCCTTTCTCTTATTCTGGAGGGAAAAAAAGGATATGAAAATAGAAGAATTCTATAAAACATTGTCCCTTAATTCAGGCTCGCAATCAAATCGAATCAAATTATAAACACGAGTTCAAAGAATATCAAAGGAATCAATACCTCTTTTAATGCTTTAAGAGTTATAGCTCTTTGAAAAACATTCAAATGGATGAGTTGGCTTTAGGTTGGCCTCCTATTTTCTAAGGTTTCAGCCATAAAAAATGTCCTTTTTTTGTCATTGCGACATGCCTTTTTCTTGACTTGGCATTTTAATTGGATGCGGATAAAATGATGCAACTAGCATAATCAATCACTAGACCTTTTATTTCAGTCCTCTGAAATCTTCCATTTGTTCAAGCTTTGTAGGCTCTTCTAACAAAGGCAGTGCAGAAATATCGGTCTAAAAATGAAATTACTGAGTGCTCGTGTGAAATTGACTATAACAGGTGTTCCTTAACTCCCTTATCATTACCGAAAATTTCTTGCTTAGATAAATTTGATTTAATTTGTTGTTAGATGGCTAGCCGAATCCATAAAGTTGGGGCGTTTAACCAATTGCTTTAGAGGGACATCTTAATATTATAATTATTTTTATCAGGTTAACTTAAGGGTTCATCTCATCATAAAGTCTTCGGCTTGACAATAGTAGTGGAGCAAACACCGAATTGCCAAGTGTCTGAACAATGTCATGGTTTGAACGTAATC